GAGGAGGTTAGATAGGCATCTAGCTGGGGTCATCTAAACCGAGCCCTCTTTCCTGCCTATGCAGGGGGTCGGAGTCGATGATCTAATGAGATCCCTTCCGACCCTAACATCTATGAATCAATGAATCTATGAACTAAAAGTTTGGCTGCACACCAACTTTTCAAGGCCACTCACCGGGAGAGGAGCTGAAGTTAAGCTCCAAGGTGAGGTGAGTGCGGAGGCCTGGTGTGGGTTCCACCTGCTCCAGGGAACTTCTCTGCTCCCCTGCATCACCTTGGGGAGCAAGAAGACATGTGGCATCAGGGCCGGGGAGTGGAGAACTTCTCCGAAGCCAGCAGAGCTCTCAGAGCAGTTCCCCAGAGCTGGCGGAGCTTCACTCAGGGCAAGCAGCGGCTCCTCCCTGAGATGAGGCAAGGGACTGGGGACTGGCGCAGGCTCTGCCAGCTCCGGGGAACTGCTCACGGGCTCCGCCAGCTCTGGGGAAGTCCCCCACTCCCTGGTCCTGATGCCACGTGCACTCCCCAAGGTGATGCGGGGGAGCAGAGCAGTTCCCTGGAGCCAGCGGAGCCTGCATCAGCCCCCAGCTTCCAGGTCCCAGTCCCCACTGCCTGCCCTGGGTGAGGAGTGAGGAGGTTACCTTTGGTAAGTGTCCCACACCACACCAAAAGGGGGAGGCAGGACCAAAGCGGTGCACTCATGGGCCAAAGTGGTGCGTTCATGGACCACTACTCCTTAGAGGGAACATTGCTGGTGGGACCCCACCCATGACTGGGCAGTGGGCACTGAAGGCTACAGGTTATACAGGCAGGATAGATTGGGGAAAAAAGGTGGGGGGGCGGGCATTGCTCTATATGTTAGGGAACATTATACATCTTCTGTAATAAAGATGGGGACAGAAGAAGGGCAAATCAAAATCCTATGGGTCAGATTACAAGGGGGTAAGGGTAAAAGGGACTTGGTAGTGGGGGGTCTACTACAGCCCCCCACACCAGGAGGAAAAGTTAGACCTAGAATTTTTGAAACAGCTCTCAAAGGCAGTACACTCAAAAGACCTAGTTGTCATGGGTGACCTAAATTACCCAGACATGCTGGGAGGAGCAGTCAGCCAGGTCTTCCCTTTCACGTAGGTTCTTAACCTGTATATGGGACCTGCATCTCACACAAGAGATATCAGTCCCACTAGGGGAGATGTCTTACCTGACTTGATACTGGCCACAGGGGAGGACTTGGTGGGGGATCTACTGGTGCAAGGTAACCTAGGGGATAGTGACCACCAGTTGATAGGATTCACTATCTGGCATAAGGTGGGAAAGAAAACTAGTAGGGCAGTAGTACTAGACTTCCAGAAGGCCAACTTCAACAAGCTCAGGAGATTGGTTAGGGTGGGACTGAGGGGTAATCACATCTATGAGATGGGAGTCCAAGAAGGGTGAGAGTTCCTCAAGGGACTGATCCTACAGGTACAGAGGGACACCATCCCAATAAATGCAAAGGGAAGCAAAAGAGACAAAAAAATCTTCTTGGCTGAGCAGGGAAATCCAGGAGGGCCTTCAGTGGAAAAAAGAGGCCTACAGGCTGTGGAAGAAGGGGGCAGCCACCAAGGAGGCTTGCACTTGCAGGGAAGCAGTGAAGAAGGCCAAAGCAGATACAGAACTCAAGTTGACAATGAAGATTAAGGATAACAAAAAGTCCTTCTTTAAGTACAGAGGGAGCAGGAAGAAGGTGCAGGGTAACATAGGGTCACTACAGAATGGACTAGGACAACTCATAACTGATAGGATGGAACGAGAAGAGCTCTTAAATAATTTCTTTGCTTCTGTTTTTTTGCACACGGATACAAATACACCTCCCAATGAGTCCTTAGTCTGGAGTGAGAGTAATAGCAATGCACCAACGGTTAGCAGTGACCTAGTGAAGGGGCACTTGGAAGGGTTGGACGTATTTAAGTCGGCAGGCCCCAATGATCTTCACCCCAATGATCTGGAGGTTAGATGAACACCTTGCTGGGGTCGTTTGACCCCAGTACTTTTTCCTGCCATGGCAGGGGGTTGGACTTGATGATCTGCTCAGGTCCCTTCCGACCTTACCAACTACGAAACTATAAAACCCAAGGGTACTAAAGGAATTGGCTGATGATATAGCAAAACC